GAAAACAAAACAAAAAAAACATAGGTTCTCAAGTTTCTAACATGCTCAGGCTGGGTTCATACTTGCGATCTTCTTGACGCTGCCTCCCAGAGTGCTGGGATTATAGGCAGGTGGCACAAAGCCCAGCTATCACCCGAGTCTTGCAGACTGAACTCACCCTAGGTGTCCCTGTTCTCCCGGAGTGGGCACAGGGTCTGCTGTCAGGAAGCAGAGCCCCCAAGGCACCACTGATCCTTGAGAGTGGTGCTCTGGTTACCCTCAGGATGACGTCGCTCACTTCACACAGTTGTTCTAAATCTTTACTGTTTTGATAATCGTTATGTGACCTAGGATCCCATAACCACAGTTTTTTAGATTTGATATTTTTCTACCACTGTCAGGAGCGGATGAAACCCTGCCCCGTCTCACACACAGAGCTAAGATGGTCACATGTGAGTAAAACACAAGGGTGTGGAGTTGATGGGTGAACGAGACCCGCATTTCCAATCCCTTCTTAGTTCTTGCCTTTCAAAAAGGGACTTTTCATTCTATCTATGCATTAATCTGGGGTAATCTGAAAACCAGTGAGGATTAACTGGGTGGACACTCCAAATCAACACCCAGTTAAAAGCAGTCTCTGAACAGGGAGGCAGGACCAGAAGACAATAAAGGTTTCTGAGCAACATCCAGGAACCTAGGAGCCCAGACTCTGGCTGCTTTCCTGCGATCCTTGAGGACAACGACAGCCTCATCCCCCTGGTGAGTCACCTCCCTCCTGAGGGTACTCTCTCACCCTGTCTGCCCTCAGCCAGTGTCTCTCTGTGACCTGCAACCCAGGCTACCGCGAATGTCCTTTTTCTGTAGATTCAGATGAATAGAGGTCAGGTTTAGATTTCACCTTAACATGTAGATTTGCATTCATCTAAAATACTTTGATTTCTGGTGTAAAATTTCTATTTCTTTTTGGGTTTTTGAGACATCATCTCACTATGTAGTTCAGGCTGGTCCTAAACTCACTCTGTAGACCGCAGAGGGACCTCAAAATTACAGCAACTCCTGCCTCAGCCTCCAAAGCACTGGGATTACAGTCACATTCCACCACACCTGCCCATCAATAGCTACCTTTAAGTTTGCCAATTTTTTATTACCTTTTGGTAGTGGGGATGGAACCTAGGACATTTGCACTGAACTTCATCTCCGCCCATTTGTCATATTTTCTTTTGAAACAAATTCTCACTCCAATGTTATGTGGCTCAGGCTGAGCTCAAACTTGTGATCCTCCTGCCTCAGCATCCCAGAGTGCTGGAGTTACAGGGGTGGGCAGCCACTCATGGTTTGTTTTTTATTTTGAGGCTTCTCACTAAGTCTCCATGTTGGTTACAGCTATTGTTTTGGGGGCGGGGTCTCATGAAAAAGTTCTCACTAAGTCACACTGTTACCTTAGCTGGATACAAATTTCATTATGTTCCAAGCTTTTTTAAAGAATCAACCAGGCATGGTTGGGCATGCCTGTAATCCCAGCACTTAGAAGGCTGGGCAGGAGGATCACCGAGGCCAGCCAGGGCTACACAGTGAGTTCAAGGCCAGCCTAAACCACAGGGCAAGACCCTGTCTCAGAAAAGTAGATCTGTGTGATCCACATCTCCATCCCTAAGTGGTGAATTTCAGATATGTGAGAGGAATGTGTGGCCATCTACGTCTCAGCGTTTTCCATTCTAACTTTAAAATGCTCTATAATAGCCTTGCACACATTTTGCTACCGCTCACTACAAAGTCATTTAGTGGTGCATGAAATGGGCTGTGACCTTGGAGGGAAGGTTTCAAGGGAGAAAGAATTATGCTGTAGACTTTGCAGTTTGTAGTAAGCAGGTAATCGTTATCAGTTGTATCTGAAGGATTATACTGAAGTGGGGTAGATGACAGCAGCAAGGACCTGGGGTCTGCAGTGATGTTTCGGGTAGACGTGTAACAAGCTCTCAGAACGAGATAATCAGTCACTAAACTTTTTTTGGTCAAAATGTCATTCTTTATTTTTGTTTTTTGGGTACTGGGGATCGAACTCCAGTCCTTGAGCTTGCGAGGCAGGCAGCAGCACCACTGAGCTAAATCCCTGGCCCACATTCTTTTATTTTTGGAGATGTAGCAAGTGTTTTAACAAATCGGTTACATGTGCAACTGCTTATAACATAAAAAAAAGTACATTTGTAATAAATTCATCATTATTAAGTCCATTTGCAAATAAATTTAAGTAGCAGGGCAGAGCAGTGTTTCCCCATACTGACCAGTGCAATACTGACAGTTATAGTTAGGGTTTCCGTAACCCTGAACAGGAAGATTTAATTTAGGACAGATTTACTTCCATTAAAAAAAAAAGATAAAATAATTCTGACCTGCAAACTACCCATTTTATAAGCAAAGCCAATCACTTTTAAATTCTATTTTCATTTTAAGTAAATGACAATTCAAGAATTAAACAATTTTGAAAAATAGCGGGAAACAAAAGGCAAAATAGCAGTGCGCCTTTGAAAACTGCCGAGCAGAGCAAACAAATCCACAAAGCAAATCAGTCCCTGGAGGAGAGGAAAACAGGATCTCAGCTCAGAGACGCGAGGCATTCCATACTCCAAACCTCCATGGAGTACTTTTAATGTTAATGTGCATTTATCAGCTTTTCCCAGGCAAATCCCATGGCCACCCATAGTAACTAAACTTTTTAAATGTTTTATTTGTTTTATTTTGTGGTTTGTGTTTTTCTTTTTGTACTTCAGCCTAGAGTAGCCTTGAACTCACTGCTCCTCCTGCCCCAGCCTCCAGAGTGCTGGGATTAGAGGTGTGGCCACCACGTAGCTGACATCACTAAACTTGCGTGGGCTGCACCGGAGTTTGCCTGAGGCGGTTCTGGCATTACCCTCACATGACCATGGCCTACTGAGGCAGGGTGTGTTCTAGTGGGTCATCTGGATTTCTAGGAGAAACTGAGGTTGGCTGGCAGCTGTCCAAGGCCGCACGGCACCCTGCGGGCAGGCAGCAAGGGAGAAGGTGGGAAGGACAGGAAGTCCTTAGGGCCCATCACTCTCCCGTTCTCCTCAGCCTCCACCTCCCTCCCCCTGTGTGTTGTGCCCTCAGTCCTTCGTCCTCCACCTTTCAACCTCCGCCTGCATCTCTAAGGACAAAAGTGTGTGAGTCCTGGAAGCCACAGCTGGGCAGTGAGTGTGGATGGCACAGGAGCCACTAGGAAATGGGTGTGTGAGGACTGAGGGGTAGCAGGGTGGTTGCTTCCACTGGGATCTCAAGATTTGGGTGTCACATCGGCGTTCACTCCTTTAATTCTGCGGCACGGACTAGCAGGACAAATTTATGCTGGGGTGGGGTGCACGGTAACAGTAGAGACAATCCACCCAGACTTCACTGGAGAGAGGGAAAAGGGCCGAGTAAGGGACACTGGGGAACCTCAGATTCTTAGGAAGCTGGGTAGACACTTTACTATCCTTCACCCTGAAATCACAGTATAACTTCTGTTAAAAAAATAATAACGAGGAATGGATACCATTGTAATTGAGCCCCATTCCCAGAGGAGGAAATCTGAGTTTGAGCAATTTGGCCAAGGCCACACAGAAGACGGTGAACTGAATTCAGTTAAGACCAGTTCCCCAGGTTCCCATGGTCCCAGGTAACACCCTTTCTCCATTGTGTACTCCCATTTCCTGTTCTGTTAAGCTCATCTGTTTTTTTTCCTTTTCTAAAATACTTCTTTCACCCTATCTTTCACTCCCCGCTTCCACCAGCTTCTGACTCATGTACAGGAGACCCTGAAATTCATGGGGTTAACTTCCCTAGAGCACCCTGGAACTGTGAACCATCACGGATTTCAATAATGATCAGAGATCTGCCTATAAATGCCTATTACTACAATTTAAATCTGAACTATGCTATGTCTCCCACAGTAATATAATTTAATAAAATACTGCATTAATAATGCCTTAGAGGTGTAGGGTATTTGGGCTACATTTAGGGATGTTAGGGCTTTAAGAAGAACGAAACCAAGACTACTTGAGATAGCTATATACTGTACATCAACCTGTTATATAAAAGTGTTGCTGTGTCTGGCAGAGATGGGATACACAGCAGTAGCCAACCAGCAGCAAGGAGAAGTGAATAACACTCTCAGATTGGCCACTTTCAAACTTCCCTTCAGAATAATAATTATGGAGCATATTTGCGGTTTGCACAGAATTCCAGGGATTTGCACTAGCAATTACTACTAACTAGGTTCTAAAAAAAATTCTGTGAATGACTGAGGCCATGAACTCTCATCCTCGACTCCTTGGGGGTATACCATATTTTCATCTGACGCCAGGGCTCACAGGCTAAGAAACTCCTAAACCAGCTGCTCACACTGCGGAGAGGTCATCCCACTGAGTCTGTTTCCACTGCCAAGTGATGATGACCCAGGAAACCCAAGGCGGGAGACAGAAGGATCAGACATGTTCCTACTCCTGCCAGTACTGTGCTAGGAGGAAAAGGCACCATTCTCCAATTATTTGAAATGTATATGCACGGCATACATGTCCTACTCTGCTTAATTCTTAGCCAGGTGGATTGTGGGACCCCAGGAGTTAAAGAGCCTGGGCCATATGATCTTTCCATTTTCTTGGTTATACTATGTTTTTGGAGTGAGGATCTGAATTTTTTTCCCCAAAACTGGTGGGAGTCAGTTTCAGATTTCTTGGCTCCCAGTTCCCAGTGGGTCCAGAGTTTAGGGTGGTACGGTTGGAGGACATTTTGGGCCTCACCTTGCTTCACCTGGGAGCCACTGGACATTCTTCCTGGTGTCATGACAGGCAGGAGTAATGTTTGGGGACCATGAGCACAGAATACATCTGGAATAAACTGAAGCAACTCTTCTCCCATTGTTAGAACAGGAACTTTATGGCGGAAAGTTGTTTTCCTCAGGGGTGAGGAGAAAAGGGGTGTCTCGGCCTTTCCTGAAAGGATGTCTCCTTCCTCAGTGTTTCCTCAGGACCCTTGGCCTTGCAGACTCACCAGGATGAGCACCGACTCTCCACCCACACTACTGAAACTGGCAGTGCAGAGCTTGCTGAGGGACGAGGACTTGGCCATGGGGGCTGTGGAGGATTTGCCAGGGGAGCTCTTCCCCCCAGTGTTCATGGAGGCCTTCACCAGGGGTCACACTGAGGTCCTGAAGGCCATGGTGCTGTCCTGGCCCTTTCCCTACCTGCCCCTCGGAGCACTGATGAGCATGAGGAGACCACAGACTTCCGACGCCGAGGTGGATATCGTCCAGGTGCAGGAGAGGATGTTACAAGCTGTGCTGGATGGGCTCGATGTGCTGCTGAGCCAGAAGATTTGCTCCAGGTGAGTGTAACCCAGGGATCCTGGAGGGAGGACCCTGGAATTCCAGCAGGGGAAGCAAGTGTCAGGGAGAGCGGGGACTGGAGGATAAAGCAGAGGCTTCCGGTGGTGGCTGGCAAAGGATGAGAGAATCTTGGGCATTGCTGAACTATCTGGGAGTTGACTGCCAGTGGGGAGGACAGGCAATGGGGAGGCAGCAGGGAAAGGAGCAAGAAGTTCCTGAGTCTTCCCACAGGCAGTAGTATTAAGAGGTTGGGCTAGATCCAAAGGGGAATGAGGAAGGAAAACAGTACAACACAGAAAAAAGTGGAGAAGACAGAAACTGATGTCTGGGATGACAAATCAAAGGGAGAAAGTGGGTCCTGGCCCAGGTTCTCAGACCTCTTCTTCGTTCACCCACAGGAGGTTGAAACTGCAAGTGTTAGATATGGTGGACACGCACCAAAAGTTCTGCAGAGTCTGGGCTGGACACAGATTGGAAGCCTGCTCCTCAGAGGACATGAAGAGGAGAAACACAGGGAAAAGTGACACAAGGGCGGCAGAAAAGCGACTCCTCAGGGTGGTTGTGGACTTGAGTCTTGGTCAGACATTTCAGTCTCCATTCCAGTCCTACCTCCTCGAGTGGATCCAAAAGAGGAAAGATCTGGTGCAGCTGGATTGTACGAAGCTGTGTGTCACCATACCATGCATTGCAAGTATCACAGAGGTCCTGGAAATGCTAAATCATGGTTCTGTGAAGGAGGTGAATATTCGGAACTTCTGGACACCCTTTACCTTGGAAGCTGAGAGAGGAGTTGGTCACCCAAGTCACCTTTGAATTCCTTATGCTTCTCTTTCTGGAGGAGAAGCATATGGAATCTGCCTCCTTCCTGGAAGGCCACCTGGACCAGTTGTTCAGGTAAGATGTTGAGCTGTGTAGCCAGGGTCAGAAGATCCTTTCTGTGCTCTAGAAAGATTAGTGAACATGGACCGTGCGCCCCCACAGGAGATGTGACAGGGGCCAAAACCTAGATTCTCAACACGTTGCCTTTTCCCTCCTCGGTCCTACAGCGAGGGCTCACATAAGCACTATCTGGAGTAGCCAGACTGGAGAGACCCACCGTGCTGGGATGACCAGTCAGGGGTCAGACGCAGTGAGGGCAGGTGAGTGATTTCTTCCTTAGGAAGCACGTCTAGGGTAAGAAGAGGAAGCCAAAAGGCAGAGGGCAAGGAAGGGAGACAAGCGCTCACACCTCACAGTGTATGTGCTTCTTACTCATGAGCTGTGTGAGCGCGAGTGAGCCTGTCTCTGTCCCCCACTGGAAAAGGCTGCTACTGATTCTGGCAGAGAATGCACAACCCCGGCTGGATGTTATCCGCTGTCTTCCTGTGCCATCCTTATCCCTGACAACAGCTGCTATCTTTCCTGCTCTTTCTCTGCTTTCCTGTTCTACTTCTCCTTTCCCCTTTCTGCCTTGGATCCAGCCTAGTCCCCACTCAGTGCCTGTGAGGAGAGAGAGACAGGTACTTAACGTTGCTTATACTTCTGCTTGTGAAATTAGCTGACCTCTCCATTCACAGTCAATGTCCCTGAGGCTCACCAATGCCCAAAGCCTCTCTGATTGTATGACAGTAAGGATCAGAATCCTCTGCTCCATGGTGGGGTGGTGGTGACCAGACCAGAAGTGCAGGACTCCAAGCTAACAGCAAGGAGCAGAGGTGGGGGACTGGGAAAAAGGACACAGGCTCTGCTGACAGCCTTTTGGGCAACCCCAGTGGATGAGGCCAGGTCTTTTTCTGATTTGTCCTTCCTGCCTGTCTCCTGTGGCCTCACTGGGAAAGGTCTTTGGTTTTCTGCCAAAGAGAAAGGAAAAGGGAAACTTAGAGATCCAAGACTCGGCCAGTCACGAAAGTGAAGGTAAATGATCTCAGCCTACATGGAGGAGACTCAGATGATGACAATCGTCCACATTACAATTGTTCTCCACCACTCCCTACTTTTCACCACCAATTGCCGGATCTAACTGACTGCTCTCTCTCTAGGTGCCTGCCATCCCACCTGGAGACCCTCTCATTAATATACTACGAGCTTTCACACTCTGAGTGGAGCCAGCTGCCACAGTGTCCAAGCATCAGACACCTGAAATACTTAGAGTTGTATGGTATCAGGCTGACGCATTTTAGGCCTGAGCCCCTCCGATCTCTCCTGAATAACCTCGCAGCCACGCTGACCACCCTGCACTTGCAGGCCTGCGGGATCACGGATGCCCAGGTCCATGCCTTTCTGCCCGCCTTGGGCCGCTGCTCCCAGCTCACTACCTTCAGCTACATGAGGAACTGCATGTCCATAGCCACCTTGGAGAGCCTGCTGTGCCACACTGCCAGGCTAAGCAGCTTAAGCCTAGAAATGTATTCTGCTCCTGAAGACGTTTGTGTTTCCAGGCATGGTGTCCGCCATCTGAGAAATGACCAGATTCTAGAAGGGCTGAGGAGGATCATGCTGCCATTGAACCATCCCAGGACAGTTTGGTTTTGTGTTGCTTATTGTGGACTCCCTTGTAGCTGGGAAGTCTATTACCTTCATCCTATCCCATGCAATGATTGTATCCCTATCTAGCTCGGTCCACGTAACCTAGGCTTCACTGTGGGTACCGCGAACTCATGGCCCTTGTTTCAGCGCAAATGAGAAAACGACAAAACAGATAGGCACCTTGGGACTTGACTTGAAAATAGAAGTGAACATTGTGGACTTGGGTCCTAGACAAGATCAGAAATAAGAATTTGGGTCTCTAGATATAAATTCAGGTTTGAGATGAATGTGTGACTGAATGTAAAGAAATCTGAAATAAAGTTTCACCTAATTCATCCGGTTTCCTCCATGTTTTATCTGGTTTCCAGTTTAGAGGCCATGAATCTGCAATAGCTCATGGGAAAAGGCCCTGAGTGTCTGATCAGTGAGGTTTGGCCTCAGGAACACCCAGCAGCAAATAGAGATGTTCCATGTTGTTCATTCCCTAATATTTCATCTTTTCTAGCCACATGTACCCTTTATGTCACCTTGTTTTCATCCACACACCCATGTTACTCTGGAGGCATTTTAGGGCCTTCCCACTGAACCTTCAGCCACAATATTTGTTGATACCTTTTTTTTTTTTTTTTTTTGAGACAGGGTCTCACTATGTAGTTGAGGCTGACCTGGAACTTCCTGTGTAGCCCAGGCTGGTCTCAACTCACAGCGATCCTCCTACCTCAGCCTCTGGAGTGCTGGGATTACAGGTGTGCACCACCACGCCCGTCCTTCACAGAATATTTGTTTTTCCAGACAAAGTCCTGAATTGTCTGCATTGTTTTTACACTTGCTATCCTCTGCCTTAACATTCCAGAGTGCTGTGATAATGGGTGTGGGCCATTCTCAGATATTTCATCTTTTTTTTTTTTTTTGGTTTTTTGAGACAGGGTCTCATGTAGTTGAGACTAACCTGGAACTCATTTTGTAGCCCAGGCTGGTCTTGAACTCACAGGGATCCTCCTGCCTCAGCCTCCAAGTGCTGGGGTTATAGGTGTGAGCCACCACACCCAGATCATCCTTATTTCTGTGCCTATTTTTTCTTGTTAATCTAAGGTTGGCAACCTGAAGTACACATCAGAGACCAGCTCTCTAAAGGAGAGTTCCTTTGGGAAATTGCAGGGACTGTGACCAGGTACATACCTGCTATGGAAGGCATTGGTGACCCTATAATATTGCTATGTCCCTTTGGAAACTGTTCTTCCACTCTGTAAAATAAAAATAATGGAACCTATTGTATAAACTCTCTCAGGACTCTCCTGGCTAGCGTCACAATTTGAATGAAGAAGGTAAGATTGTTGGGCCACAGGTTATTTCCACTGATTTTACTCAGGGCCTGAGGAAAGTGACTCAGCAAGAATTGTAACATTAGATCCAGGAGTTCTGTTTTTAATATCTAGATCTTCGATTTATTTCAATTTTAATGTATTGTGTGGTGAAAGATAGGGGTCTAGTTTAATCTTTGGCATGGGGAAAGACAGTTTTCCCAGCACTGTTTATTAAAGAGGCTATCTTTCTTCTAGTGAAGTGTTTTGCTCCTTTGTCAAAGGGGCAAAATACATTTGGAGTTGCTTCTGCATCTTCTAATCTATTCCTATGATACATTGGGTCTGTTTTGTTTTTGTTTCCTTTTGTGTGTTTGTTTGTTTGTTTTTTGGTTTTTTGAGACAGGGTCTCACTATGTAGTTGAGACTGTCCTGGAACTCACTATGTAGCCCAGGCTGGTCTCGAACTAACAGCGATCCTCCTGCCTCAGCCTCCCGAGTGCTGGGATTACAGGCGTCAGGCGTCCACTGATGAGAATGTCTTTATTATTCAACATTATATTACTTGTTTCTGCCAGGATACACTGTGATGATAACACAGTACAGATGTACTCAAGTTAACCAAGATTTAAGGATTCAATTAGCAACTTTTATTTAGCTTACCACGTTAAAGTCTAAATTTTTTTCAATCCATGATTTTGCTTCCTGAAATTCATCTTAGCTTTGTTTCCTTTTGTTTTGCCAGTACAATGCTATTTTGATTTTTGGAGTGGTGGGGAGTTTTTTTGTTTTGATTTTTTGGGTTTTTTACCAGATTTCATTATGTGGTTCAGCCTGGCCTTGAACTCACTATGAAGACCAGATTGGCCTTGAACTCTCAATGATACTCCTGACTCAACCTCCTTTGGGATGGAATTACAGGCTTGTAACCACCAAACCTGACACCATGCTGTTTTTTATCAAGGAGGCTTTGTCACATAATTTCAAGTCAGGGATTTTGATGCTTCCTGTTTTGTCTTTGTTACCCTGAATTTCTTTTGCTAGTCTTTTGCTAGTCTTGGTCTCTTCTGGTTCCAAACTAATCTGTGATATAGTCTATCGGTATCTTGATCAGGATTGCTTTAAAGCTGTATAATAATTTTGGAAGGCCATTTTCACTATATTGGTTCTCCCTACAGAAGAATACAGAATATATTTCCCCTTTCTGATATCCTCTTTTATCTCCTTTCTCAGAGTACTGTAGATTTCAATGTAAAGGTCTTTTACTCCCTTCATTAGACAGATTGCTGGATATTTCACTTTTTTGCGTGATACTGTGACAGGTGTCATTAATTTTTCTGTCATTGAGTTTGTTATTTGTGTACAGGAAAGCTGTTGATTTTTGAGTTTTGACTTTGTATTCAGCTACACTACTGCATTTGGTTATTAAATCTAGCAGTCTTTTGTGGATGGAGTCTTGGGCGTTTTATGCAGAGTATCATGTCATGTGTAAATAATAAGTTAACTTGTTTCTTTGCTGTCCTTAGTCCTTGTATTTATCTTGTCTAATTTCTCTGACTAATGTTTCCAGAATCATGTTAAGGAAGAGTCATGACAGAGGACATCCTTGTCATGTTCCTGATATTAGAGTGAATGGTGTCAGTTTTTGGCCATTTAGTTTGATGTTGGCTATTCGTTTGTCATAGATGGCTTCTATCATAAAGACCATTTCTTCCAATTTTCTGTGGAGTTTTTATTATAAGTGTTGAACTTGGTCAGTTTTTCTGCATCTATTGAGATGAACATGTGGTTTTTATTCTTTGCTCTGTTAATATGATGTATTACATTTATTGATTTGCGTACATTTAATCATCCCTGCATCCCTAGGATGAATCCTACCTGGTCATGGTGTATGATCTTCTTGATGATTTGCTGCCTTCTGTTTGCCAGTATCTTACTGAGGATTTTTCAGCTATGTTCATTAGGGAGAGAGGGCTGTTAGTTCTCTTTTGTAGTTCAATCCTTTTTGTAGTTTTGGAATCAGGAATAAATCTGAGAGTACTGCTTCCCTTTCAATTTCATTAAAGATTTTGAGAAGTAGCAGCATTATGTCTTCTCTAAGTTTCTGGTAGATTTGAGCAGTGACTCCATCAGAACCTGGGATTTTCGTTGTTGATAGATTTCAATTAAATCTTCAATTTCATCAATTGATATTGGTTTATTTAGAATTTTTATATCTTAATTCAGCTTTGGTAATTCATATGTATCCAGGAAACTGTCCATTTCTTCTGTGTTTTGTAACTTATTAAAATATAGGCTCTGGAAGTAGATAATGACAATCTTCTGGATTTCTGCAGGATCTGCTGTGATTTCACCCTTTTCATTCCCAGTTGCATGGAATTGAGTTTTTTTCTTTTTTTATAAGGTTGACTAAGTGTTTATCAATTTTAGTTACTCTTTCAAAGAACCAACTGTTCAATTCATTGATTGTTTATATTGTTTTCTTAGTCTCCATTGCTTTAATTTCTACTCTAATCTTTTTAAAAATTTTTTATTGAGTACAATCTAGGTATACAATACAATTACATCCATTATTAGGATCCTGTACCTTTACATGATAGGTCTTGGTTCTCATTTTTTCCCCTTGTCCCTGCCCTCCCTTCACCCCCTCCTCCCTTCCCCATTTATAAACACTTTATTTCCATTTTTCATTTTCGCATATTTTTTTCCTCTCCCTTATTACCTTTCCCCCACCCTTCCCACTTAGTACTTTACTTCCTATTTCACATTATTAATTATCTCATTAGGATCCTGTGTACTATTATAGTTTTTCACACTAGAGAAACTATTCGGTATTTCAGCTAAAGAAATCTCTATATGAACATTAAAAATAGGGAATCCTAAAATAAAACTAAAAAGGAAAGTAAAAGAGAAAAGGCAATGATGTAAAATTAAAATAATCCTTAATTCTGAAGATGAAAATGGTCCTTGAACATATTTAAGTTGCTTCTTGCTCTTGTAGTCTTATTCTCTTTTTTCACTATTTAGAGAATATTAGTTTCTGAAATCAAACCCACATAGATATGACCTTACATATTTAATACAGTGCATTACCCCTGTAGAAATGGAAAAAAATTAACATTTCTAGACCAACATGGCTGTTAATTTCTGCACAATGCCAACTCAACACAGTCTACTCTAATCTTTATAATTTTCTCGCTCATATAAGATTTGGACTTGACTTGCTCTTCGTTTTCTAGAAACTTGAATTTCAACACTGGGTTATTTATTTGAGCTCAGTCTGTTATTCTGATACAGAAATTTACTGCTATAAATTTCCCTCACAGGACTGCTTTCATTGTATCCCATATGTTCCATTGTGTTATATAGGCGTTATTGATGAATTATAGAAATTGTCAGATTTCTTTAATTTCATCTGTGACCCATTGCTTGTTCAGGAAGGTGTTAATTTCCATATGGGTATGAAGTTATTGTAGTTCCTTTTGCCATATTTTTCCAATTTAATTGCACTATGCTCTAATATGCATGGGATAATTTTGATTCCTCTGCATTTACTTAAGCATGTACTATCAGCTAGTATGTGGTCTATTTGGGAGAATAT